AAGATAAGGCCTTCTAAAATATCCATAAATTCTACTACAGTACTAACATAATAATCAAGGTATCTAAAAAAAACCCTTAATCAAATTTCTTTATTCATCACGAATAAGACTTCGTTAGTGGTAAAGTCGTAACATCAAGTTTAATCTAGCCAAATTCTAGTTCGCATTATTTTTCTTGAGCTCTATGATGGCCTAAAGTATTGAGGTTGAATTTTGATTGTAATTGATAGCATCTTGTGTGCAATAAAGTGTAAAGATGATAGAAGTAAGTATTTCCTCTCCTATTCCTCAAAACAGTTCATTTATTAAGTCAAGCGTCCATTGATTTCATTATAGAGAAAAATTAATTATACGGTCCCGTTTATATATCTCTTACTCTTTTTATAATAAAGTATAAATGTAAATGAAAATATATAGAAGTGTGTACCTGTCTATTACAATAATGCACATTATTCTTGAATTGTTTGTTGGGCGGTAAGGGTATAAATCTATGTCAAAATACAATATTTATAAATTATAAACAATGTGATTTATTTTTAAATTTTATAAAATGCACAGGACCCACACTGATTAATAAAAAGAAAATGATAAAAAAAATGCTTAGAAGTAACATCGTCAACGTGTCAAGCTTGAGGCATTTGACTTTCTTACGTGGTCAATGGTCACATTTTATGTATCCTGACCCCTTTTTCTCTCCCCCTATCTTCCATAAAACTCCTTGTTATACTTATTTCTCAAACAAAAGATAAAAAATTTTTAGTTAGAGACGAGAAACCATTCAATCTAGAACCTTGAATACCTATTGAAATGTTTTGTTTGTGATACTCAACTGAGGAAGTCATTAGATCCCTCAAGGTATGTCTTCATTACTTTTTCCCTCAATCTCTCGTTTTTCGGGATTTCTTAGCTTTTCTACGCTGGTTTAGTTTCTTAGGCCTTGGTCACTGACTCCTTTGTCATCGACTCACCCAATTTGTTGACCTTTTGGCATTGAGCAAGTGGATTTCTCAAGGATAGGCTTGAATTTATAGTTGTGTTTGGTTATGCTTCTAACACTCGTTCTTTCTCAATTTAAATGTTTTCAACGAAGTTACTAAATCTTATACTTAAAATGATTAATCTTTGGATGGAAATGAACAATAAGGGACTTTGTGAGAACTTTGTTCATGGTGATATATCTTTCATTCAAGAACACAATTTTGTCTATAGCTAGCTTATCGACGAATTACCATGTGCAAAAGGGTTTGAATAATTTGCTAATCTAAATAACTTATTAGAAGTAGAAATAAGCTAGGATGCCAAATTAAAATGAGTAAAGTGGTAACAATACTCACAAAATGATTAGCCACAAGCACACAGTATTCTAAAATGAAAAAAAAGGTAAAAATACTCATAATGTTACATGGATAAGTACAAAAGTGACTCGACCGTTAACTTTGACCTAACGCCGTTAACTTTGACCGTTAAATGCTGACTGTGCATGTTACGTGTCAGTCTTTACTGATATGGACTAATAAAGAGGCAAAAATACCCATGAAATCATCGATTGAAAGCAAAAATATTCACAAAGTCGTAGGTCAAGAGCAAAAATACCCATAATATTGCCAGAGCTGGTACAAAAGTATTAATTTATTTAATTCTTTAAATGTTAACCATTTAGCTGGCACCTAAGCATTGATCCTTTTTTCACTGATATGGATAAAAAATATTCCTAGATAAAATTCTCTATAGGTTAATCAGTTATTGTATGAATATCACGTGAGAAAATATTATTTTGACTGAATATAAAATTAAATCATTTGTTTCTTTACAATAGTGGCAAAACCATTTAAAAATTCTAAACCTATCATGAATGCAATTGCTTAAGGCTGTGATGATGTTCTTAAGCTAGATGTACTCAGTTTTGATCTTTAATTTTGTACAACCTATCTCACTATGTTAAATCTTAGATTTTATAGACAAAAAAATGAGTGAAGAGAGAGAAAGAAATGGGGCAAGATATGTGACGATGGAAATAAACTATGTGACATTGATTTGGATGAATTGATCACTATTGCACCTACTAAAGTAACATTATGGGTACTTATATAATGATGATCAACATCATCAAAAATTCATATAGGAATATTTTTTTGTCTACATTAATGAAAAATAGTTAACTTCTGCTTAGATGTCAGTTAAACAGTTAACATTTAAGAAATTAGATGAATTGATACTTTTGCTCTAACTCTGATAATATTATGGATATTTTTACTCTTGGTCTATGACTTCGTGGATATTTTTATTCCTGACCGACAACTTTATAGATATTTTGCTTCTTTATTATCTATGTCAGCAAAGATTGATACGTAGCATGTACAGTCAAAATTTAACGGTCAAAGTTAACGACGTTAGGTCAAAATTAATAGTCTAATCACTTTTGCACCCATCCATGTAACGTTAGGGTATTTTTATCCTTTTATCCAATTAAAATTTCACTAATCAAATTTATCAAAAAGCTCGGATTCAATGTCTTCTAAAGGGATTTGTCTGTGATATTCAACATGAAAGAAAACCATCCGATCCTCCAACGTATTTCATTCCTTACGTCGATTTGAGGTGATGAGGATTAAAGTTAGACATAATATCCAACTTATAAGATTATGCTTATTGATACTGTTGATGCTCATGTTTCTAATTCAATGGCTTTTGGTAAAGTTTCAAATTAGAATTTTGGATTTTATAAGAGTCCTGATTTTAATTTGTTCTTATCAAGAAAATGATACCTGAAAATGATTATTTTGCTGGGAAGTTACAAAAATAAGCCCCATTCCGGTGAAATACACATGAACAGAGATTTGATTCATCACTTTAATTATATCTCTTTGAAGCCTTACTTCCTTATTCATACATGTGACAATTTTGTCCAACCTGTAAATGACGTTACTCAACCAAAATAATTATATTGACTAAAATTTAAACTTAGATGTTAATTCAAAATCTTTTCACACACACACACACACACACACACTTATTTAGACGTTAACATATATAGAGAGATATAACAATAAGGTGCATGGTGAGAAAGCGTGGGATGTATAAGAAAACAATCATTATCCTGAAGAAAAGGATGGTTAAACGACTAAGAAACACCAATATTCCACGAAGTCTTTCATTATTAAGGTAGCACTAATCTCAATTCATATTTTATGAATGACATAATTTACCAAGAAATTTCACTAATTCACTCTAATTGTAGCAGCAAAGTTTGTGAGAAACATAAAGAAGTGAGTGATAGTGTGATTCGACCTTTACTTTCATTGATTCTTCGTGAGAAACAAAACTGAAATGATGTTATTTTCTTCTTTGGGTGTCATATAAAGTAGCATCACGTTGTCAACTATTATCTCTGAATTATTGAGAGCATTATATCAATTTATTTACACGAAAATGAAACAGATGGGGGGAAAAACGTTTGTGTTGGCCGCGCAAAGAACGTTGTGGTGGGGTCCACCTCCAGTTTCAGTCAACTTCCTCCCCATCTTTGTCCCATCCCATGTCACGCCTCCCTATCATTCCTATTGCACTGCTTCACATAATCACAACTCTCTTTTCAATGCCCACAGCCTCACACTACCACATCCCTCTTAATATCAACAACGTTCATCCAAAAAAATGGTGAACTCAGCTAAAATTATAAAAAATTTTAAAAAAATTTACATATTATAGTGACATATTTATTTAATTAAGTGAATTCTTGTATATACTCAAAACATAAAGAATAAATCACATTGTATATCGTATGTAATTAGTGTTCCAATCTATAGATTTTAAGATCTGACTTTAACGTGATTTTCAGTATAATGAATTTTTTTAAAAATTTGTATAAAATAGCCATACATTTTTCAAAGCTGAACTTAATTTATCTGTTTTTATTTAACTAGTAAAATTTTAAAAAATAGTTACATAAGATTAGATAAGATGATAAAGATGAGATGAGGTAGAGATATAGACAAGGAAGAATTATCTCCATGATTAAAAAATCTTGGAAGATTTACGGGTAAATTCTTACAGAAGAAAATAATTGCCTCCTAGTTCTAACATGAGTCAATGAAAAATTTGATATGTAAATAAATTTAGAAATTAATCAATTAATTTATTTGTACTTCTCCCAAAAAAACACTACTTTAGAAAGTTTCTTCCGCGATTCAGCGGATTATAGCCTCGCTTAATCATTTGATGGGGACATGCGGGCGAAATCCAAATGTAGCTGAACTGATTTTACGGAATTACACCGTCCATGGAGCAAAATCCATCGGCATTGTAACCGAAAAGTAAGGACTAGTTCGTCATTTGATTTACTCACAGAATAGAATCGACATCATCTGAAATTTTTACTGCATCTGGATAAATGTCTTTTTCCTTATTTTTGTCATAATAGTTTCCCTATGATTAAAAACTGAAACAAATTTTGTATTCTATGAATTTTACATAAATTTTCACTCAATTGATAATTATAATTTAATGCCTCAAAGTGGTTACGTAATAATTAAATTCAAAATTTATGGTTAAATTGTGTGATTTGTAGTTGTGATGCTACATATCACTTGGGCTACATGTGGCAGGCTTGGGATGCCATGCAATATAAGATCACATTCACTTTACTGCTTTTGTTTTTGTTTTTCAAAGATCGCATTAATTTGAATATCTTTTTTTACTGGCCCAGTATTTCATGGTTGAAAAAAGTTTCCTGTGCAGCTTCGTCATCATGCTGGTAGGCCTCCGATCTAAGCCGTAGACATCTCCCTCTCACTCTCAATACTATAAACTTGCAGAATCAATATATAGATGCAAGAAAGCAAGTTATTTGCTTTGTTTATTTACTCATTCAATAGTTAATAATTATTAATGATTAATTCTTAATAATCTTCTCGTATTTTTGGGTGATTTTTTAATCTGCCTTTTGTTTTCAATGTCACACTTCTTTAATGAAAATCTCGGGTGTTTCTCTGTGCTCTTGCACTGCACGTTTCTGTTCTTGTTTGCAGTGTCACTGTCCATTTCTTCAAACCAGAGCATGAGTCTCTGTCTCGTGGACCATTCTTTGCCTCCTTAGACTAACTCTACGTCTCTAACCCCTTCTCCTTCTTCTCCTTCTCCTTCTCCTTCGCATTCTCGAGCCTGCTGCCTTAGAAAGTGTAGAACTTTCCTTAACCTGTTTTACAACTCAATAGTTTTTCGAAAGAAGCAGTGATGGAGGCGAAGAATCACCTAATCCATTTTTTTAATTCCTTAACTCCTGCAAGTTTTTTGTTTTTATATACATCCTTTTCTTCTTGCATAAAAGGAAGTCTAGAGCTACATCTACAAACCCCAAAGCTCCAAACTTTGAAGCATTTCATGTTTAGTCTCAAGCTCTGAGAAAGCAAAACGTTTTTCCCCCTTCCCCTTGTAAGTATTTGAAAATGTCGTCAATTATACAGATTTCTCGTGTAGATTTGGAGCAGGGAAGCCATCGAAGTGACATGAGTGCCGAGGCTAGCATTTGCTTCTCTGATGTTGAAGAGGGTTCTAGCTATTCCCACTTCTATTCAACAAATGGTGGCTCATACGATGAGTATAGCTTTGCATTTGTTTCTGATCCTGAGGTTATTGAGGACCTTCCCGAGTCTGGAAGAGCTTCTTCTGTCACTGAATGTTCAGTGGAGGTGGAAATTGAAGGTGGGGTTCCTGAAATTAAGGTGCATTTGGGTGTAGAAGAGAGAGAGTGTAGGATTTGTCACATGGGTTTGGAAAGTGAAAGCCATGAATCTGGGGTTCCAATTGAATTGGGTTGTTCTTGCAAGGATGATCTTGCAGCTGCTCATAAACTCTGTGCTGAAACCTGGTTCAAGATCAAAGGGAACAGGTATGGGAAACCCCATCTTCACTTTCTTTCAATTCTAATTTTTTTGGATTCCAGAGTTTCATGTTAAATACCAGTGCTTCTCCATGCTTAACTGGAAATACGCAAAAGGTCGGTTTGATTATTCAGTCTGGATGGTTTTGGAATTTTTAGTTCGTGGATGACTTGAATGGAATTTTTAGTTTAACGAACAACATGGTGAGGATGTAGGATCGATTAAGTTCTTGAAAGAGAGGGAAAGTGGCTAACGTTAATTACCAATAAGATGATGGGAAAAAGAAATGCTCATGAGTCGGTCCTGCTGAGTCAGCGGCATGTCTCAGCAAATTGAGCTTCCTTGTTGCCATGTCCTTTTTTTTTTTTTTTGAGCAAAATGCTATGTCCTGTTTTTTAAATTTAGGAATCTTCATTTTGGTTCTTTACAGTTCTCTCTTTATCTACAATCAAGTAGAGACTTGATCCCTTCAACCTTTTATGTCCCTTCCTTAAAATTTAAGAATCTCTATCTTGCTTTTTAGTTCTCTTTAAATGTCCATCGAAGTGGAGATTTGACCCTTTCAACCTTTAATATGTTTTCAAAATATCGTCGTGGGTGCTTGTTGCTCTCATATGTGCCACCTAGAATTATTTATTATTTACTCTATTAATAGCTCAACCCCATCTTTCTTGTTCATACAAAAATTTATGACATTGACCACAGTTACTTTCAGTATGCATGATTGTGTTTTAGTACTATAAAGTCTTGCATATAAGTGCAATTGTCCAAATCCTAGAAGCAGTTCTTAAGGTACCATATATCCATACTTCATGATCATTTGTATCCTCACGTGTTCCACAGTTGTATCACATATTACTGGGGCTGGGCTATTCAAATTACATATTGACACATGAAAATGTATCATGCACAGTGTTCATGTTGTATACTTATGTCCTTTCAGTCTTTAATGTTACTGTCTGTGTCACCTCTTAAAGTTCATTAGTGTTGCTTGCTGATGTTGGAATGGTTGAAAGTTGAAACCTTTATTGAATACCATTGAGCAATTTCCTGAGATAAATTGTCAGCTTTAAATAGTGGAATGAAGTAATCCTACTACAATCTTCCTTTTCTTTAATTGCCTCTTGGTACGGAGAAGATACTCTTCTGATTTGCAAGTTCACTGTTGATGCTCTGCTTTAAGTGAAAGGCAATTTGTTAGGTCCATTTGATTGATGAAGTTGGATCTATTAAATATCTATTTCAGATGTTAATTCACCCTGGTGCATGATTTTACCTCTAAATTAAAATTAAAAATAACGAGCAATGGAGTAGGAATTTGCATCTGTTTTGGCTGGGAATCTTCTCTCTTTTATGTATTGATGCCTTCATTAGTAGCAAATAATAATTCATGGCATCTTTTTCTTCCTTTTAGAGATTCCATAACCTTTTGAGTTTTGAGACATATCATTTTATCATTTTTGAGTATAATCCTGCATGCTTTAAAGGCAGGGAATACTATGGGGATAGTCTAGCTTGGCTAACTTAAGCTGGAAAGCTATAATGCTTCAATTTGAATCAAGGCATGCTAGAATGAGATAATTGTCCTTGAACCATAGAGTTTATCATCAATGTTTTTTCAGGGGGCCAAGAGCTGTAGTAATGTACTCTGAGTTCTCACGTTGACAAGGCCGTGGTATTTCCTTGTTCAAAATGAATTATTTGGCAAACTCAATACACATAAACCAAGCTAATGCGAGATGGATATTTAGCGGGATATATCTCTAATATGTCTATGTATCCATTTGTCACTGCCTTTTCTTAGTGTACGTATAACAAGTCTACATTAGAAGAAGTTCCCCATTTCATTAGAAAAATCCTCAAGGTAGACATAGTCTACTAAATTTAAGTAAACTACACCAATTATGAAACAGACATATAAGCATCTGTTTGTTGGGTTTCAGTGAAAAGTGTGTTTGACTGACATGCATGTGTTTCTTCATGAATGTTTTGATTTTCAGATCTTTATATTTGCACAGAAATTTCTTTGTTCCTTGTTTGGCATTCTGTAGGCTGGTAGCTAATGGGATTTTGCTCCCACTCCATCTTCCTCCTGCTATATAATATCATAAGCGCGGCTATTTTAATTCCTCCATTGTTTTGTATGTGGTCTGAAGACTAGTCATGGTCATGCATAAAGGAAAATTCACCTAAACCGTGTGAAACAATGCAGAGTGCAAGTTTTTCAGACCATGTTGCTCTGTAATTCCTCAACTTTCGTGATTTTTATTATTTCGGTATTGATTAAATTCTTGTAGGACATGTGAAATCTGTCATTCTGTGGCACGGAATGTGTTTGCAACGAACGAGGAGATGAGTGAGAATTTAAGTGACATCAACAATGCTATCACATTATTCACAGCTTCGGCGCCGGCTTCCCCAGACACTCCTCGAAGATTTTGGCAAGGCCGAGGCTTCCTGAATTTTATGCTTATTTGTATGGTGATCGCATTTGTCATATCGTGGGCTTTTCACTTCCATTTTCATTCACCTTAGTGTCATTCTTTTAAGATCTCAAGGAAAGAGAAGCTTGTTAGGGGGGGAAAATGGGGGGAAACGAGGTGAAATGAATGAAGAAAAGAAGAAATCTTGAACTGCAACTTTCAGAACTTGTTCTTTTGAGAATGAGTGTTCTTAGTTTTCACAGGTTGATGATGCCTCATAAAAATCAGTTGTTATTTTGCATTTCTTCATAATTTACTGGGGCTTTAGCGTTGTATGGCTGATTTAGTCTGCCATCCAAAAATTAACGTGGTTCATAGACAGGTACTGGAATGTTGTGTTGAAATGTATATCATAGTATTATTATTGCTTCTCCATTGCTTTTTTGGGTGCATCCTGAATTTACTTCTGCTATATGATTATGCCAAATTTGTGGGATGTTTTGTTGGCAGATTGAATCTTTTGTGATCGTACAATGTACATTGCAATAGAATGATACAAAAGAGTACCGGTGTATGTGTACTATATAGGATTTTGGCCAAAAAAAAGTATATGTACTGTATAGGGTTTATGATTTTTTTTTCACTCATTTTTATAAATATATTTTTTTATTCTTTTTGTACCAGTGTATGTGTACTATATAGGGTTTATGAATTTTTTCACTCATTTCTATAAATATATTTTTTAATCTTTTTTTAATCCACTATATGTAACTATAGAAGTGATTTTAAAATATCTAAATTGGTTGGTTACCCTATTTGTTAGGGGTGTTCACGGGCTTGATTTGATTTGATTTTGGGCAAAAATTAGGTTGAACTGAACTATTCAATTTATTTATAATTAAGACCTAATTAATTTTTATGAAAATTGGTTGGTTTGATTTTATTTTCAGTTTGATTAAGGTTTATATCAATTTTATTACACTTATTTGATTTTTTTTTTTTTTTTTTTATCTTAATAATGGTACTGTGTTTAAAATTAAATCTAATTCTTTTTTATTACAAAATTAAATCTAATTTTTTTGGCTCATTTTTTCATAAATAGAGGAATAAAATGTAATGAAATTTCAATGTGCTCACAATAATTAATAATAAAAAATTGATATTAATTTTTAAGATTAAAATTATTTAATATTATGTATTTTTTTTTAAGTCCTTTAAAAATATTTTTTACGTTTTAATATAAAATGAAAACTTATCATACAAAATTTAAAATAAAATACTTCTTGTAGATAAATTAAATACATGAGGATTTTAAGTTGTAATAATTAAATGATGGTTAAAGCATGATTATATTTAATTATTATGTATTTTCATTTAAGTCCTTTAAAAATATTTATCTATGTATTAGCAATAGGCTTCATTTGGGCCCTAGGAAGTTGGCTAATAATGGATTGGATTTATTTACAAATTCATATTGGATTTGGTTGGAATTTAGGTATGTATTTTATAAATAAATAACTATTATTTTTCTAATCAGTTTTAGTTCGGTTTCTAGTGCTCAAAATCAAAACTTGAACCAAATCTATCGATTCTCGTATAATAAATGTAACATCCTGATTTTTATATAATAAAGAAATTGTGGAATTTAGGTTTTGAGAAAAAATGATAATAATAGGAATTTATATTATTTGAGGTTATTTAGAAATAATATTATGATTAGGTATTTAATTATGAATTTAAAAAATTTAAATTTAAAACCACATAAGCATATTTAGTTAAGATATAATACATAAATAATTTTTTTATGTGTGTGTTAAAAAAAAAGAGAAGGTAGAAGGAACAAAAAAAAGGGAGGGATGGAAGGTTGTTGTTTCTAAGTCCCACATTGGTTAGATGAGGGAAAAGAAGAGGTGCCTTCATGTATAAAAAGGAGGGGGTGTGTGCATTAGGAAGCATGAGAGGCTAAGATGCAATTTAGAGGAAATTGTAACTTTTGGCCCAAAGGTTTGAATAATTAAATTCAAACCTATAGTTTTTTTTAATATAATTTTGGGACTCACAATCCCATTTTTATATTATTTTTCTCTCTTCCTCTCACGTTGCTCGGCGTTTTCTCGCAAGGGAGATTATTTTCTTTTTCTTCAGGTATGTTCTATCTTTCCTGTTTAGATTAGCATTTAAAAATTTATTTAATTACAAAATTAATTTTATAGTTATTTTCTAAATAATTTTAGCTTTCTAGTGATATGATTATTTTGGTAGGATAGAGTAAATATTTTGATTAGGATTTTTCTATAGGATAGTTAATCTGATGATATGATGGATTAAAAATATAGGTTAAAACTCTTAGGGATATAATAAATATTATAGAATATTTTCTTGAGGTTGAAACTCATGTTTAAAAATTTTTGAGTTAAAATCTAGATCTATATGGTTGAATTTATGTGGAATCTGAGATGTAGGGATAAACTTATAATTATTAAATATTTATTTAAGTATGAATAGGTATTTTTGAGGTTATAGAAAGGTGATTTGAGGCTTTAGGATGATTTTAAAATTTTTAATTTATTTTTGGACGAATTTTTAGAATATAGAAGAATGAAATCGTGATACTAGAAGTGATTTGAGGATTAAAAAAATAGTTTATTAGGGTACGAGAATTTTAGAAAAGAATTTGAGAAGTTAAATGAGGCATAAATCTTAAATTAGTGTTAATATGGATTATAGATCTAAGACTTTCTAACTATTTAAATTAGAGTTATTTATTTTAATGTAAAATTAATATATAGTATTGTGAAATAATTATGTAGATTATATTGACAAAGATAGTGGTGAAAAAGGTGTTGTGAAGGGGACTTGTTATTCAAGACACAAGGTAACCATTATTAATGTGTTGTGATGGGTGTGTTTGTCAATGGTTATGTGTTGTTTTGTTGTTTGGAAAAATTATGAATTATTGAAAATAAATACTGTTATATACTTCTGTGAAATCATTGCCAAGTGGGTTAAAATTTATTTTTTATTTATCATGATGAGATATTATTGTTCGAATATATTTCTGTTTGGATATTTGAATGATGCATGACTTGTCAGGGTATTTTAATGTATGGTGTTAATGGGAATTTCTGTTCGGTTAATTATTACCACGTGGTAAGCCCTCATTGGACCCAATGAGTGGCGTGTCGCTTGGTCCAACTCACCTTTAGTCGGGTGATTTGGCGTCCAAGCATGGCGAAAGGAGGATATAAGGTGCAGTCATGCAAATTAAATACTTGTTCGGTTTGTTTGAAAATATTGTTCGGTTAAATGTTTTGTATGCCCACTTAGCAATCGCATGATTAGTTACATCTGCATGCATCATTACATATTAATTTTTGGTTACTGGGACTTTTAAGTCTCATTCCCCGTGGTTAACATTTTTACAGGAGCGAGTCCGGCCGAGAAAGCACCAGAGGTGTAACTATGGTGTATGAGACACCATCTTTTACGTTGCCTCTTATTTTGGATTATACAATGTATCTTGTGCCAACTTAGGACATATCTTCTTTGTGAAGCATGTAAACTCTAATCCTTTTTATTAAAAGTATTTATATGACCAAGAGGATTATATCTGTCCCTCTTGATTCATGACCTGATTTAAATATCATGCCATGAGTATCCTGTCTGTCCCTCATGGTTCTAATTGCTTTTTGAGATATTTTAAGACCTGTGGTATATTATCTTGGATGCACCATGGTAGAAATTTTCTACCATGATAAGGGTATGATAAGGGTTTAATGAAAAAAAAAATGAGTTGTTGAATTAATAATTTGAAAAAAATCAGTTTGTAAATTTGAGGGTGTTACAATAAAAATTGAAGCAGATTTGACTGTTGTTCAATTTTAGTCAGTTTCTTTTGATTTGGGTTGGTTCTTTTGGTTTACATCAGTTTTAAACACCTTTACTATTTACATAAAAACTAGATAAAAAAATGGACATTTATGATTTCATATCTAATAAGGATTTGGTTTAAACCAAATCACTTATTTAAATACACAAAAATTCATGAATTTAAATTTAGTTCATTTCAAATTATAATTCTTTTATAATTTTAAATTTTTTTCTACACCCTAATAATTGGAAACATCTTGTTACTTTCACATCTTCATTGTTAATATATCTATAATTCTCATATCTTTTTTCATCCATTGTCCATTATAAAATAAAAAAAAATTAATCATTTGGGCTTTTTAGTTTTCATTTAGTTATAATTTAATTTTTGAACTTTATCTTTTGCAACTTAATCCCTATAAATTTAACTATTTGAATATTAGTTCTTATATTTTGAAAAATAAAATTAGAAAGTTTAAAAATGTGTTAAAATTATAATCTTTATATAGATTAAAATAATTTAGTAATTTAAAATATTAGTCCTAAATTTTAATATAATTTTAATTTTTATAATTTTATTTTTTATAATATAAAGATTAATATTTTAAATAGTTAAAACTATAAGACTGTAAAATTTAAGGATTGAGTTGTTAAATAGTCAAAAATATAAGAATTGAATTACAATAATTTAAAGTTTAAAAATTGAGTTATAATTGAGTAAAAACAACAATGACCAAATGATTAATTTTTTTAAAAAATATAAATAAATTCTTCATTTCCAATTATTTATTTTTATTTCAAATCTTAGTTCATTTCTCTTCTTTATTTGGCTTTTTTAAACTATCAAAATAAAAAAAATTAAATGCATAGATTTCAAATGTAAAATTTGAATGCAAGATTTTAAATTTAAAATCTAAATCCAAATCTATCAATACAAATGATATCTAAAATTATTCACCACTGTCCATGTATATTTAAAATAAAATTTATACAACAACAACAAACTTTATCCCTTGGTGAAGTCGGCTACATAAAATGTATAAAATTATTGTGCTATATCATTTACCAAACTTTTAAAAATGTTAACAAAGAGGTTTTGATTAATATTTTTCATGAGTGTTTTCTTTGATCTTTTTTTACTCCTCTTAACAGGATCAAAATTATTTATTTCACTCTCCTTATTGGTGCCTTTCAAAGTCTTCTTTATACATTTACAAATAATCTTAAATGATTTTCTATCATTTTCTCCTCAATAGGTGCTACGGCCACCTTTTCTTGTATATGCTCATTTCAAATTTCTTTTTTGTATGTTTGTATACCTATCTCAACATTCTCAACTCTTTTTCTCCAACTTTATGCTCTTGTCTCATTAAAACCCAACTTTTTCTATGATATAATATAACTAGTCTTACACTAGTTTGATAAAACTTCCCTTTAAATTTATTATGTATCTTACAATTACAAATAACTTCTTTATCTTTCTCGAATTAAACCACATGTCATGTATCTCATGTACATCATCCCTATTAATTTTCATATCATGTTGAATAATAACTCTCAAATATTTAAACTTTTA